GGTGGTGGTGCTCTCCCCTACCCTGGGGGTCTTCAAGAGAAGGTTAGATAAGCATCTAGCTGGGGTCATCTAGACCCAGCATTCTTTCCTGCCATGCAGGGGGTCGGACTCGATGATCTATTGCGGTCCCTTCCAACCCTAACATCTATGAATCTATGTAAAGCTGGATGCTAATTGTTTAACAGTCTAAAGTTTGTTCGAGTTATGCCAGATACAATGACCCATTAAAACACTTATTATAACCCTTTTCTTTGGTTGTCCCTGTGTTATATCTTCTGTGCTGCATGTTAAGTCAATGGACCTGGTTAAGTAGATTTGGTAGGGGGAAAAAGGGGAAAAAACCCAACATTCTCTTCATTTATCAAGGAGTTTACTCACTGTTTTATGTACTCTAAAACTGAAACCCACATTTTTGGTAATCAGCAAATAAAAGCTAAAAGATTCCATTTTAGACTGTGAAGAATATATACATTTTAAAATGATCCAAAAAGAAAAATAATTTAAAATCACTGGTAAGATTAATATTGACTTCAGGGCTTGGTTTTATTTAGTTTTAAACCCCAGGGGTTCCACATTCAGGGAAATTAAGTTGTTTTTTTTGCAGGGGGGGGGGGGGGGGGGAAAGAGGGAGAGAGGATCAATTTCTAATGTTTAAAAGTGAACTTGGGTATTTTATGTGAGATATCTTGTTTATTTTATTATTTTACCAAAAAGAAATGGCATAACATTTTGAGCTACCCCCATGTTTTGTTTCACAGGAAATAACTGTTCTGAGATTTAAAGGTTGCTTTTCTAATAGTTACATTAGGGTCATACACACACATGACCCCAATTTAAATATTAACCCTAATACTATATATAGATATATACACTTATTATATCTATGTATCCGTGAGGTAGCATAATATTCACAATATTTACCCCCAATATATATTGGAGGTAAACATTGTAAATATTATTTACTCCCCAATATATATAGGCAGATATAGCTAGATAGATTTAGATTTATTCTCTTGCTGGAGAAAACAGAGTTGAGTATAAAGATATCATTTAAGTATTCCCTTTCTGCTGAATATTAGTAGTTAATACAATAATTAATTCATTTCCAGATGCGAGGACTAATCTATAATTTTCAAAACAACATATTAAAGACATCCACTCAATGGACTTCATTGCATAAAATTAGGCAAGAACTTGATTGAGCAACCATCAGATTGTTTAAATTCAATGCACATTCTGTTTTACTTTTGTTCTTATACTAAATCATAGTAAAATCCTGTGCAATCCATAATTAGGAAAATAAATGACTAAGTTAATATCTATCAAAGGCTGTTCCTTTTTTTCTAATTAATTATTTTTGTTTTTTGTAAACAGATTGCTATCATCAAGGAGGACTAACATTTGAATTAAAATGAAGTTAGGCTAATGACAATTATTAGACTGTCTGAAAGAATTTTACAGGCTATACATTCATGAGGAGAAGGTCTTGTGCTCTGCATAGAAGAGGTTTAGCTTTGAAGATGAACAGGAGTTTCTTAGGAGGGGAGGCATGCAGGATAGTAGGAGGGTAAGGAATTTCCTGCTTTCAGTAACAGTACTGCAGATGCATGTGGCCCTAAATGCTTAAACAATTGCAGTTTTCCTCTCAGTGAGGTCATCAAACACATATAGATTGTGCTGCAATAATCTGAATAATAACTCTTATACTATTAGAAAATTAGTCTTCACCCAAAGTTTATTTAATTTCTGTTGTATTTTATCATTCACTTTGATATTAACATCTGAAGACTGAACTCAACTGGTGCATTACCCAATCAACCTGGTTTGCCCTCTTTTGGACACTGATGAAATGGTAACTGACCTACCAACTTTCTTGAAGACCTCTTCGGTCATAGAATGTATTATTTCACTCTTACACAAGAATAAATGCTTGATTAGAAGTTTAAAATAATTTATTTTTTGTCAAGCTTTTTTCCTAAGATTTCAGGCTTTTGACCCTTTTAACTCTGCTGAAGATATTACTTCTTTATTCTAAATTGTCTTTTCTATGATGGGACTGACATTTTCATTTTCTTAGTACTGTTATAAGTAGTCAGTAAGATTTAAATGTTTGGATGTACAGCAAATGCCATAGGTATTTAGAAAGGCAAGTTTAGAAGGTATAGGATCCCTTATCTTACCACTTTCAGTTTTTATTTGATGTATTATCTTCCTATGAGCTTTCTTTCTAAGAATATATGCTAGTTTTTAGAAGTTTTTGTTGTCCTTTTAATAAAAATCCCATTCACTATTTTTATATGACACTATTCTTTCACTCAGTAACTGTAAAGTTATTACATTACATTTATAAAGGTAATCTCTTTACATTTATTTCTTGTACGCTTCTGAAAAGCTTTAATTTTTTGCGGGTTTTTTTGTTTGTTTGTTTTTTTAAAGGAAATAAAACTTTCCAGGCATTTTTTCCTTGATGTTACCATTCTATAAATAACTCCTGAATTGATGATTTGGGCACTTCCCATAGATAAGTAGATTTGTAACAAGTTTAAAGTTCTGTAATACAGTGGCACTGAAAGTCCTTTTTTTCTTTGTTTTAATTCCTCTGTAAACTGTACAATAATTCAAGCATTGGAACAGTCTACCTAGAGAATATAGGGAATGTCCATCCTTGGAAATTTTCAAAAGAAGGTTAAACAGGCACTTGGCTGGGATGGTTAGTCTGGGATGATCCTGCCTTGAGCAGGGGCCTGAACTGGATGACCTCATGAGGTCCCTTCTAGCCCTATTTTTCTATGATCTTATAATTCAGATAAAGAGATTAACTGCTACAATATCATCATCATCATCAATATCAAATATATCCATTTTGGTCAAGATTTTCAGCTGTGGAAATATTCAAAGGGAAGATTAAGGGCTAGCATAAAGCTGACCTTTTTGCTTGTTAGCTCCAGGCCTGAATAAGTGACAGAATATAAGAACAGTGTGTAGGATGTTTTAAATTACACTAACCTACAGTGGTACACAGTGTATAAGCAAGTACTAAATAAATGTGCAGCAACTGAAGTTACTATACAGTAGCACCACTGAATGCCTTTTAAATGACACTATTGTGCAGTAACCTAAAACTACTGCACACTAGTATCTCTGCACTGTTTTTGTCATGTGATGCTACTGTGCAGTAGCATCAGGGTCCTACACAGTAAGCATCTTGTGTAGATGTGCAGATATAGGCCTGCTATTTGAAAGAAATGCCCATGGACAGAGTGAAAGGAAGATAACAGGTACAATTCACCCCTAAATATTAAAAACACAGGATGACAGTAAAATGGCCATTTTTAAAAATAACCTAGGAGCCTCAACTCCTCACTTGTGCTGCCCGTATCAAATATTCAGTATCAGAATGATTGAGTGAAGTAGTCAGGATCTCATGTGAAAATGCAGTGTATTGACTTTGAAGACTCTTCTGGCTCCATGAATGATATGTAGGGATATTAAATGATATGGAATTGGTTATATAAAATCATAGGCAACATATAGGAGGGGCATGTGCCCCGCCCCTCCACGAGGTTGACTGCAGCCATTTTTTTTGGGTGGTCCCTGCTCACCACCTCCCCCTATCACCGCTGACACCGCTGTCATTGTTTGCAGGCAGTCCCCACTTGCCACTCGCCACCCCGCTGCCATCTGTGGGCATTCCTCACTCATGCCTACAAATGGTACCCCACCAATCTCAGGAGGCACCCATCATCCATGTATAAAATTATATAAGCCTGTGATAAAAAAAAAAAAAAATAAGACCTATTTGGTAAACTAGTTTATTTTCTTCCCAATGTAGGGTTGGATTCAACTCTACATTTACAAGTCATTTATACAAGCGTTATGCATGTTTAAGAATGAGCTTTGCTTAGTTATAACACAGTAGGACTGTATTCTCAATAGCCTTAATACAAAATATAATCACTTAAACCATTGGAAGTGGATTTATCAAGCTAGTTAGAGAAGCAGCATTTTAATTTAACTTATTGTAAATTATATCCTGAGTTATAAATACAAGGCAGTGGAATTAGGTTGAATTAAATAGAAGGCCCTGGAAAAGTAGGCCCAGTCCCATTAACTGAAATTATTCACCATTACAGAAACATGTTTATCAGTGCTATGTGGTCAAGTGTCACGGGATGGGGTCCCCAGGGATGGCTGTGTTACTTCTAGGGCTCCTTGATTGTGCCAGTCTTGCCCAACAAGTACGCTCTCTCTCACCATGCATTGCTGGTACTTTTAAAATAGGGAGGCTGCCCTTGCTCTTATTGTCTGGACACAGTCTTGCTGGACTCTGAACCCTGTGGGTTGTTAGACCCCTTGGCGTCCTGCTTCAAAAAACAGATGATTCATGGAATACCCTCAACCTTATGGGCTAGATGTGTGGCTCCAAACTGCCCCTTTACTATGACCCAAACCTTGCAGATGGTATTGTCTCTCCTGGGCCTTGCTATAACTCAGTTCCTTGTCCTCACTGGGCTCTCCGCAGCCCTGATCGCCATGCCCTTCTCTGGGGCTGGGGTCCCCACACTGTCATGGGCCCCCAACTAGGCCTCCTCCTTCGCCAATAGCTTCAGCCCAATCCACCAGTCAAACGGCAACTAAAATCTGAGTCCCTGGGCTATAACATAATATAAGTGGTTCCGGGTGTGCTCTGTCCCTTTAAAACATCCAGCTTCTCCCAGCACTAAGTGCCTTGTAAGCCAGAGTCTCAGGTGAGCTCTTGCAGCCCCTTAAACCTACCTGAGATAAACAAGCAGCCAAGCCTCTCTCGTGAGCTTCTTCTTGGAGAGTTCCTTCCCCCTCGGCTGCTGACAGAGAACTCCTCTCCTACTCCCAGCCCTGGGGTTTATATTTGCCCAGAGCCCTGCCTCTCCCGGTCAGCTGATTTACTCATTGACCTATTGCCACAGTAACCTGCACCTGTGGGCTTCTGCCTGGCTCTTAGGACCCTCTTCCCAGGCAGTTTCTGCTCTTATAGGAGCAGGCACCTTAGTGCCCTGCGACATTAAGGTTAGTGCCTGTTTTCAGTACAATTAATACCAAAGATTTTTTTTTTGTTTGAGATATATGCCTACTACTCAATGTATTGATCTGAACCTGTCATTATTTTCGTTACTGAAAGTTGAAAGTCTGCCATGGCATCATACAACATAACAGATGACTGCATCACACCATGTACATTCTCATGTAACATTATGCAGTATATCAAAAAGCACACCTTATGACATACTGATGAATCAAGTTGTTTTCCTTTCCCTTTTCAAGCCCCTATAAAACAAATGTCTTATCCTTTAGCAAACAGTGTAATCCACATATTATGCTTGTGAACTACAGCAGGGAAAACAGAGTACAAGCCCATACTTTGCAAAACCAGAAAACAATCTGTGTCCCTGCTACTGCCCTGTCCTGACAATTTTTTCAGAGCTTAACAGTTGCTACTTCTGGAGTTACTCTTATTTTTCTTATAAAAATAAACATCCAATAAATTATTAACACCTCTGCATTCTGCACCTCAACATGGAAATTATTAGTGTTACTGAACTGTTTTCCTGTTCTTATTCATTGCCGTTGACTTCCTGATGATCTGGCTATCAAACACATAACTGCCTTGTTCCAGCATAGGACAGTTGAAGTGTATTCCTCACTATTAAGGAAGTGACACCTATTTATTAAATATACATTCCATTGGCAGTGGACTTTATAGACAAGACATAAATAATTTAAAACTATTACTGTCTGCAGAATCTCAGTTCTGGCTCAGACAAACCAATGAATTAAGTCTTTGTCCAATCAGTTGCTATGGCAACATGATGGCCTGCCCAATTTTAGCTGGCTGAGAATGAGTGTATTAAGCAGTTAGAATCCCTGTAAGACTCTTAAAAGAAGGAGAATTATGTTGAGTAAAACCAACTCTGGAGGAGAAAGATTGTCTGGGGAAAATGATTTACAGTTGTAAGAATTTCCTTTGTGTAAGCAATCCACAAGTCAATCAAAACTGCATCTCCAGGTATTTATCTGCATGAATGTACATGTATCTATATGTATTTGCTTATGTAGATAATGTCAAAGTTATTTAGTTTGCATTCACTTAGCTGTGTAGGGACTAGAAAGTACTGCAATTCATTAGGAAAGTTTAAGGAGAACAGACATGGATATAAAGCAGGATTATATGCATAAGCTGTGATACAAGGCCTTGGAAGTCTATGGAAAAATGTCCATTCACCTTTGTAAGGCTTTCTTTATTGCAACACTTCATAAGCCACTGTGGTAAGAAAAAGAAAACCATGGAAAGCTTCAGAGGTTTTTTTAGAAAATGGTAGCAAATGTGTAAGAAAGGTGATTTAAATTATCTCTAAGTACTAGATATCCATAAAAATTAGTGTCAGGGTGCAAATGTCCATTCTCATAACCAATAGTGATATTAAACTTTTTGACAGAACATTTACAAAAAATTAAAAAATAAATAAATAAATAAATAAAAATAAAGCCAAAAACCACACTTGAAAAATACTTTAAATTATTGCTTATAATACCTCCTATTGAAAGTTAAAGGTTTCATTATGAAAGGGGTTTTTTTTACCTATTTTCGCAAATATGACAAGCCTTCCTTAATTTTGAATAGTAAGTTTCCAAATATAGGCATTGATTGTGTCTCTCAGTCACATATTATATACTAGTTTCCATTCAAGAAAATAAAATATAATGTAAAAAGAATCCAGATGTGCAAGCTGAACTATAGTGATAATGTGTTTCCAAGTGTCTGTTAATTTTTAACATCTTGTCAATTTGACTCCTATGCCACCTTCATACAGCTTGAGCAATTATTTAAAATAAACTAACTTGTCAGGACATAAGAGTTGAAAGAATTTATAATCTAACCACCAACTATCCAACATCACAGGATAAATTCACTATTTTCCAGTGCCTCGTGTTGTTCCTCTAACTTCACAGCCTAGCTTCCAAATTCCTCATCTCTTCCTGGGTCGCATGAACTCTTTGTGCCTGGCTACACGCTTTGTTTCAGAACTACATAATATATCCCCTTCTTAACAAGGGCTGGTCACACAATTTCCATTACACTCCCATTCTCTGATACAGGCTCTTAGTCTCCCAGGTGTGAAAGGCAGATCTCAGGCTTTGCAATGTAATACACTAGCACACAGTGTTAGAGCCAGCCCTATTAGCTAGAACGTTGAGTATCCATTCAAGATAATTGAAACAGGCCTTAACATTTAGCGTTCAGTGCTAGCCTTGCAGCGATAAGGGGTGATCTCCTGAAGTGGGATTTGTATAGATTCTGCATACTTTGTTCCAGCAAATCATTTTAGTAATAATGTTTTTTTAATGATTATACTGGAACCAAAAACTAAATTGAAAGTCCCTGCAGGTTTTGCCTGAAATCCCTAATGGATGCTACAGCTGCAGAAGATAGCTACAGATTTTAAAAATATTTCCTGCT